TATACGCGATTAGGAAAAAATGTATATATTAATCCGACTATACAGATTTATAGAAACTTGAATTTTTTAATTTTGAGAGTTTGTTATTTCAATATTAATTGGACAACATTCTCTTTATCCCTTACCAATTTGTACGCGTCCTGAAACATCTAACTGGACCGTCCACAATGCAGAGTCGAATCAATGCAGCTGTATACGATATCACGTAGATAGCAAGAATCCATTCGTATCCTGAAGAGAGATAAATCGATTTAAATATTTGATCGTAAAGGCCTATACGCATTATACGTAATACCATCACATTAACATAATATCCAATGCTTTCTGTTATCTAGTGTAAACTATTCAGATAATCATTTAAATGAAATAATTGTTTCATTTCTGATTTTTATGCAAATTTATATTATATAAGTTTAATATATGTTTATCTTATTTTATATATTTTATTTTTATCTAGATAATTTCTAGATTATCTAAACATTGGTAATATCAAATATTCTTAGATGGAGCAATATACTATCACAGCACCAGATTGTCATTTAATAATAATTTAAACGAATCGTACAAAAATATTTGACATTATGACGGTGACATAACGTATGCAACACATTTAAAGCTTAATTTTCATTATGCGACGGGAAGGGGGAGGGGGAAAGGGTAATTAGACGTGCACCGGTATCGGGCGGTCCACGAAGCTGTTCAGTTTTGTCGCTGCGCGATTGCAGAAACACAAACGTGAGGAATATCAAGTAATTCGCCACGGAGGAGAGAAATTTATTGACCGGGATCTCGTAAAACTTGGCCCATTTCGAGTTCGGGGCGAACAGCTCGACGAACGCCACGATCGGTAGCATGCCGATCCGCGGGATCACCGACAGACACTTTAACCACGTGCTTCTGACCTTCCACTCGTGCCAGGTGCCGATCCATTTACTCTCAACGATCTGGAAAGAGAGATATGATTTTATAATAAAATCCTTTTAACTGGAAACTTTTCATAGAGAGAGAGAGAGGGAGAGGGTGTGTCATCCTCTATCGATCGATCTTTTGACAGAAATTTTGCTATCATATTAATTATATATATATCTAATTTGACGTAGAAAAGTTATTAAAATTATAGGACACTTGTGGAAAATGATTTTTAAATCATTTTGTTTTATTTAAGAATTTAATTTTTTTTTCTAATTTACAGTGTTAATTATACAGCAATATTTTCTCGATTAATTCCACAGTACAACCTGTTGAATTTCGATCGTCATACCTGCTGTACATTCGGATGAGCCACAAAGGTCTTTTGCTCGTAATCCAGAGCCAGCAAAAGTCTTGGGTATACGAAAGTGGAAGTACGACCAAAACCGCCGGTTTGTTTTAATATACACTCGACTTCTTCGGCCGTACGAGCGCATCCGATCAAGTCCGTTGCGAAATGCGACACCTCCTTTATCGCAAAACGATAGGTTATTAACTTATCGTGGAGCCTTAAGCCCAGTGTCTCTCGATATATACATCGCAGATATTATTAAAATATATATCAACGATAAACCAATTTTTTTATCATCGTTATCACTTATCGATTGCCTTCGACGTACAATCAAATTGACACAATATATTTTGTCAGTAATAAATAAGTAGTAATATTTTTCAACTCACGCTAGACAAGGCTTTGTAATCGGGATAAAATTCTCTATCGAACGAAGCTTCCCTGCTGAGTTCGGCAGATAATTCAAAGGCTCGTAGAATCGGATCATCCTCAGTTTGACAAATATATACCGGATTCGAAATCGCGTTGTACAGGAACAATCTCATTTTCTCTATAGTCAAGATATCACCCTTATCTCTTTCTGGTCTACAATAGTAGAAGAGAATGAAGGTAAATATATGAGATATATATATAAATGGCATGAATTATTCAATTACTCGACAATCGTGGCTCTTCGCGAATTAACTGTACGCGAATAGCACATCTTAAGCTAACAATAAATTTGCGAATGTTGTCTCTCTGGAAACGCGGTTTGCGTACTTGCAGACTTCATCGCAGTTGCAACTAGGCGGATGGGGTTTCTGCAGAATGTGACGTCGGAATCTGAGCATATCAATCATTTCAAAGTGTCCGTATTGCGCCGCGACGGCGAGGGGGATCGTGTCGTCCGGGAAATCGGGGCTGTGAGTGACACCGGCGTATTCGAGGCCCGGTGTCAATTCATTCAGCTTGTTCAGTATCAATACGGTGATCCTCACCTGATTATCCCTGATCGCGTGCAGATGCGTGTCGCCCGGATCGATGTCCGGGTGAGACAATAAATATTCCACCATCGCCGTGTTTCTCTCATTGACGGCGATATGGAGCGCGCTAACGCCCTAAAAAATTATTAATTAATATTAACATAATATATCGATAAGAAAAACTCATAAATTAAAAAAAAAAGAGCGGAGTGGAACCTCGCTTAAGAGGGCATACCCGTTTGAAACCTCGAAAAATGAGTATATTTTCTAGATTTTTTTGCAGAGCAACAACTTGATAAAAATTTTTAATTTTTTTCATTATTAACTACTTAAACAAAAATTTCCAGCTTAAAAAATTTTTTTTTTTTTGAAGTTATGGGAATATTTGCAGAGCTCCTCCAAATTTTAGATGGCTGCATTTTAGATGGTGTGCATGAAAACGTTCGTAAATCATATCCGAAATAAAAAATACAAGCTTTTTTTTATTAAACATATTAATAGCTATCTGCTATTCAAGCGTTTTTTCAAAATTATAAAAAATAAAAAAATGGCGGCAGGTTGAAGAAAGTTTAGTTCTTTTTAAAAAAAGGCCATCTTTTTTTCTTTATAACAAAAAAATAGGGAATCGGATTAAAAAGAGGCTTCGTTAGCAGATGCACACCGTGCATGAAAACATAAATCTGCAAATATTCGCATAACTTCAAAAAGAAAACTTTTTTTAAGCTGAAAATTTTTATTTAAGTACTTAATAATATTGTATTAATATTGTAAAAAAAAAAAGTTTTTATCAAATTGTTGCGCTGCAAAAGAATCTAAAGAATGTATTCATTTTTCGAAGGTCCAAATGGGTATGCCCCCTTAAATATATAGTCGAACCCATAGAGCAATTTCCGTTCCGCTGTTTGATAATTATCGATAATAATAGAACGGAAATAGCGATCTACAGTGGTTGGTTGAATCAGTGAAATATTTTTAGACTTTTCTCAAAATTCCTCTTTTCCCGCAGCGAAGAGGAGACTCTACTTTCGGAAGTCTATCGTGGCTCTTCTCTCTTTTTTTTTTTCTTTTGGTCGTGTCCCTTTTTGTAAGAAGAATGGGACGACGACGTTTGTCGCCCATCTGCGGTGCGTTTACAGAGGCGGCCCCCAACAATGGGCCGGCACCATTGTTGTCGCCGACACTAGTCACAATATTCACTGATATTTTGGCTTTTCGACAGGCCCCCGGGAGTTATTCGTGTCATCCACACGCCAAACGCGACAATAATACCTCGTGATATATGTTCGGTAAAAAGCCCTCGTTTCGTGACAATCGGCAGCTGCCGTCCTTAATGTTTCGCGTGACTCGTCTAGATTTTACGTTCGATTAAATATGCGTTTGCCATTTGTTTTCATTGGTTACTCTTTAAAAAAAAAAATGTTTAAAAAAAATATATATAAATAAAAAACCCCAAAAATACGCGGCTCGAAATAACGAAATAATATTCTTATATTAATAACAGATCATAATAACACGATTAGTTAATTCTTTTAGTTTTATGAGATTTAACTTTTTTGTTTTAAATTAATATTGATAATAAGTTTTATTAAACTTTTTTAGGAGTAAATATTGTGAATTATTTTTTTTCCTCACATTGTAAAAAATGCTACTGACGTAGCACACACACACACATACACAAGACGTTTATTAAACGAGTGATGGGAAAAGGATACCGGTGATCTCTTGGATGCGTCAAGGCACGCGAGTACAGTGGTGGAAGGAGTCGCAAAGAGCCGAAGAGATTCCCATATGGAATTTACAGTTGGGCGGATCATTTGAATAATTTTATCAGGCCTCTCGGTTGAAACCATTGTCTTGTAAAAAGACGGTCTGAAATATGGCCAGAGATATACGAGGACACCCAGTTTCTTTCTCTATGTTCTGTTCTCTCTCTTTACCGGATTCCCTCTTCTCTTCCCCTCTCTTTCTATCCGCGCACTGTCTTTCTTCGCGCCGCTTCGGCATTTCGGCCTCAAAGTCAAACGACAGTTTGACCGCTTTTCTGGAACCCTAAAGAGAGGAAAGAACACACCGACCAAGGAAACATTCCACGGGGGGTACGTGTTCCTTCACGGATTGAAGATCCGAGATAACTAGACTTTGCATCGCTCTTTCGTTCTCTTCCTTTTTATCTTCTCCTCCTATAATTTGTTTCACTGCTTCTGATACAGGATAATAAATCGTCCAAGTTTGTTGACTTAAAAATTGCGTTAGAGAATGTATTTGAAAATTATGGAAAAATATTTTCGAAAAATTTCTATTAAGAGTCACGCTTCAGAATTCCCTGTAAGCTGTTGGAGCGAGTGATACATACAGCTTAACTTTACATTATCCTCATCTATCTTTCTCGAGATACTCTTTTTGACATCTAAGAACACAAGCATGAACTCCGAAAAACGTTTCACATTAATCACTCGTGCGGGCGATCTCAAAGAAGAATTTGACAGAATTGACGTGAAGAGTGGAGACACCAAATGCAAAAGCGTATCTCTCTCTTTGAGACACGCACCGCCGCGCCGTTTCGGTGAATCCACCGTTAACCGGGTGATGGGAGAGATAAATTCGGGAATCTTTACGAGCTGTTTAAAAGCCTACCAAGTTTAAAGCGCGCGCGACTCGTCCCGCGATGTGAATCACGGACGGGAAACGGAATGAATCCGGTGGACCGTAATTTATGGAAAACGCATTCCACCGAGATGTAATTTAGCGTCCCGAATCGCTAACGGAATTTGCCGTCGTCGTTAATTGTAAGGCGGGAAATGAGGTTTACACATGAGGTGCTTTTACATATTCCTGGCGCGCGCGCAATTTTTTTTTTTTTTTTATTTTGCTCAAACGAGCTGTATTTTTTTCTCTTGAATATTGATAGTTTTCTCGAGATATTTTGGAATTGTGCGGAAAAAAATGTGAAATCGTGTGCTTACTTGAAAATTTGTGGCATTTATATTGAAATCGGGATGATCTTGCAGGAATAGTCGCACATCGGCGACATTTCCGTCAGCGACAAGCTCGAAGAATCTTTTCTCGAGTTCTTGCAAATGCGGAAATATCACACCGGGATGCTGCAATCGAATAACCTTTAAGTAGATTTGACAAGCTAACACATTCAATCACGCCTCTTCGATTTTTCCACGCTATATTTTAATGTATGTAAAAGACACCAAGTAATTTATTTTGTAGGAGATTGCGCTATCGACATACTCGTTTATTAGAAAAACTTACATTTTCGAGTTCATCCTCCGTTCCGGCTACCGTTTCATTATCCGTCATCACGGATAATCACACGAAATTATAAATAATCGCTTTCACGCAGATAATGTATACAAAAATTAAGATTTATTACTTAAATATATAAAATAAGATAATTTAAAAAATTAGGAGTATGAGATCTTTTGAAACAGAGAAACGTCAAAGGTACTTCTCACGTCAATTATATTTTGTTTCCATTGGTATAAGAATGAAGTCGCTTCCGTTTGAATAAATTTTAGAGAATTGTTTTATAGCGTAGAAGAATTATAAAATTTTAAGGATAAAGCGCTCTTCTCTAATTTTTCTCGAATATACAATGGCAGAATTTTCTTTGCTTAAATTTTTTTATTTACTTATTTAAATCGATGATATATACACATATATGTACATATAATAGTATATAGTAAATAACAAGACATGAAGATGTGCTTTTGTTAATAATGTAATTTAATCTTTTTTCGGGGGGGAATATATATACATAATTTATAATTAATGGAATGAAAAGTCGAAGCAGATTACGTCCCCTTCTGATTGCGTTAGATGAAGTGAAAGGAAAATTGGGCTATGTACAATAAACTTTATTTCCTAAAAGAGGATCGCGTTTGAACTTGCGCTCTTAAGATATTTCTCTCCGTCTCTTTAAATTAATTACAACAACGGAGAGATGTATTTAAATATAGACTCATTCTTGCTGCATGCGCGTACATAAAAATTGATTGGGATAACATAATGACAGAAGTGTCAATGATCTATTATCTTACACACTTTCTTAGATAATTTCATACACAAATATACCGAACAAGATACACACGATTCGCGAGCGTTTTCGTATATAAGGAACAGAGGGGATATTATATTCAAGAGAAAAGCTCCGATTCTCTCTAAAGCTTTATTTTTTTTTTATTCATTTCTTTAGATATCGTCCTATGGTTCTAATATACTACACATCATTCGGTGAACACGGATAGGTCTCACTGGCCAACTCTCTCGTTTAGAACGACGTCTTTATATATATATTTTTTTTTTTCTAATATATTTAAATATATAATATAATATATAATAAGACGACATATATATAAAATCAAATATAGAGTGAAATTTTAATAACATGTAGATTATTAAATATATGTATATAATATGTGCTCTCTCAAAGACGTCAAGTCATGTCACTTTGTTACTCGTAAATAAAAACAGCATGACTTTAACATTCCATTAAACGGCGTTATATTACAACTGCACCGACTACAGCATCTTTATCGCATTATAAACGACGTCATTATACATATAACCGCCAGCCCAGTAGTTTATACGCTCACTTTTATTGGCGTAATATAATCTGTGTTTACGCGAGTATTAACGAAAAATAACTGCGATTAAAATCTAGTTTGCAAATTTATTGAGCTTTTTAATACTCGTTTAAATAGTTTTCTCAAATAATTTGAGACGATTAAAGCACATGCAATTCATATCTGCTCTTTTATAAAGTGATGCATTTTTAACAAGATGATAGTAACTACTAACCAGACTTGACGGAACAATGAATGTGGGATCTGGACTCGTAGTAGACCCAATCGAAACCAGCCTCGACCGCGAGTCTCGCCAACATCCCGTACTTGGAGCGATCCCGATCGCTCGTCGTTATATCGACAGCTCGTCCCTCGTAGTGCAGGGACTCAAGCGCGTGATTGCCCTCTTCATCCCAGCCCTCTGTCACTCTCAGCTTCACTCCCGGCCACTGGTTCATCACCGAGATCGCCAGTGCGTTGAGCTTCTCCTTGCACCTCTGTAACATTACAAGTGCGTTCTGGCTTATCGGTTTGGTAACAGGTTAGTTGAGTCACTGTAATTGAGTCTATAATTGAAAAGTTTACAATCTCTACGCGTTCTGCATATATACTAATCAATCTTGAAAAATTAATAATTTAATTTTCCAGATAATGGTAAACAGTAAGAAGGAGATTTATCGTACATTTATTGTCTCTCTTATTTCTCTCCATGATATATCTTATTTACTGGAGTTTAATAGTTGTCAAAATGTATCTTTAAAATATTAACTATTTAACTATCTAACTGTTTAAATTTTTTAAATTTTATTGACTTATTTTAAAATATTAATATTTAAGTATAATATATATTTATATACATCTCTCCCTTAATTTTTGTAGTTTTTTGTAGTTTTTTGATCATATAGTTAGGGTTTAAATCAAATGTATTCAGAAATTTAGGGTTAAAGCTGGCTTTTTCCTTGGAACGAAGAACGCTTTTCCGGGAAGTTCCGCTTAACGCGATTTCCGTCGTATTTGAAAACATCGCGCGACACGGTCCGGTCGTGGAATTCAAGTCGATTTCACGGTGCGCGCGTGGAAAAAGGAGGGTCTTCCTCATGACCGGTGGCGTCAGGTAGATAGAGAGAGCGATGGGGTTCTCCAGGGCCGCGGGAACCGCTGTGAGGAAAACGAATGCGTGTTTTGACCGGTCATGAGATCGGTCCCGAGAATCTTGAAGAGACTTTAACGGGGCCCAAGTCCGTGGCGAATCAACGGACAAACAGGAGTGTATATATAAATACGGCCCCGAGACGTCGAGAACCATTCGGTCACGCTGATCCTCTCTCCTCCGCTCTCCTCTCTTGTCCGGAGTCACTTCTCCCTTATTGTCTACCTGTATCGACAAGCCGGGCGGTGCCAGGCCGCGGTGTGAATCAATAGCCGTTCTCTCTCTCGTAACGATGCGCGCGGGACGGAACGGCTTGTTGAGACAGGGCCCAATAGCGTGGCGGAGGAGACCCACGGCTTAAACCCCGGGCTTAATCCGGAACGCGGCGTATCGAGGGCGCGAGAAGCCAAAGCGCGCAGAGGGAAGTCTCTCCATTGACCGGAGCCGCGGCATTGTCGAAGGGCCCGCGCGTCCGGGCCCCGCGTTTAAATCGATTCTCGGAGGGCAATCGCCCACGCAGGGCCGTATCATGCGGATGACCGGGCATGCGGATGAATCGCGCGAATGAACGCGCGCCGATGTATGTGAATCGAACGGGGGAAATTCTCCACCCCTCTCGTGCCCCTCTCGTTCCCTTTATTCCCGGTTGACGAGAAAATAAAGGAGGGCCCGATCGACTTTTGCCAGGGGAGGCGAAAGCCTCTCGTCGAGAGATCGGTTTTGAGAAACGATCGTCGCTCGCGCGATTTTCACACATTCGAAAGGGGCCTGCTTGTGTAATATATATACATATTTCTCTCTCTTTCTCTTCACCCCTTCTCATTCACAATGGATCTCAATGGCGGTACGCACAACCGCCGGACACGAAGCGGCTCGCGATCCTCCACAATGAGACCTGTTCGACGCTGAATCGAGAATGAAACGGAGCTAACAATGTCCACGAATTTTGCAGCTTTCCTTGCGGCAATTAGCCTCTATTGACTGCGGATACCGGTCCCCTGCCTTCCTCGCCCTCCTTTTACTTCCACGGGGCCTCTCGATCCGCGAAAACCTTCACCGCCACGTGCACGCGATTGCCGCAAGTGCGATCGCAACGTCCATCGGCTGTCGGATGAATTTCCCATTTAGAGTATCCCCTTGAATATGACGCTTTAAATGAACCTTCTGTGTGAACGGGATTGTATATGAACGTAAAGGCTAGCGTATAAATTCGCGCTCAATAGGCGACTTTAATTCCCTCACGCGCGCGCGTGATATATTTCCACGAAATTTATAACCCGAAGCTGCTTCGGTTTCCAGACCGCAACGTGGTATGGGAATGACGTCGTTCGGTTCGCCGCTACTTCCGGCACGTGAAAGCCTTCGTTCGGGAAAGTCCATTTATAGGACGAATCGATCATTTTACGGAGATGTCGAATATTGTAAATTTAAGGGTGTCGCCGAGCCGATTATAGAAAGCAGATTTCGAGATGCAGGAAT